GGTCACCGCCCACGGCCACAGCCGCAGGCGGGGTACTTCTGCTTCACCCCCTTCGTCCCCGGGGCCTTGTTGGCTGTCCTTGGCCTCTGCTCTTCCTTGCAGGCGCTCTTGACGTCCTTCTCCCTCAGGCCGGCCTGGCACCCTTCGGCGAGTTTCCCGCAGTCCTGCGCGGGGTCCTTCCCGGGGGCATAGTACTGACTGCTCTCCAGGCCGTGGCTTTCATTCTGGATCAGAATAGGCGGCTTGTGGGGATTAACTTTGTTTAGCCATTTATCCAGCTGCCACTTGTTAGAGGACGCGGGCTCAGCCTAAAAGCAACAAACAAAACATCCTTTATTACAGACCTACTCAAAGGCGCCTGGCTGCTTCATCTTCACTTACTCCTCTAGGTGTATGAGCAGAAAGCAGTGGGGGGCTGCGGGGGGGGGGGGGAGGAGCAGGGGCACAGCCGCGTGGGGCAGCTCTCAGTTGGCACCTGGATGCAGGGTGGCGTCCCTTTCCTGTCCCAGGTCGCTGAAATGTCAGGGCAGTACTTTGAAGCCAATTAGAAAAAATTTAGGGATAGTACTGTGCTTCATTGGAACACATTTCCAACACCTTTGCCTGTTATACAATGTGTATCTTTTATAATTATACACACACACACACACACACACACACAAGATTCCGTGAAAGTTAACTGGGGAGCGTCTGGATGCCAAGTGTTAAAGCGCCCCGTTTCTGTAAGACTTACAATTTTGGGGGACATTAGTATGAGGGGGCTACGTGGAGCATGTAGTCCCAAAGAAGGGACATAGCGTTCATGCAGTGAAGGCAAGCAGGGCAGTTACCAGCAGAGGCAGCAACTTGGGGCAGACGGCCGGGCTAGGGGTGCAGAACTCCCATTGAGCAGCCGCCGGTGTCCTGTGAGCTCTGGCTGCGGGACTTGGTTAATCCATCCCTAACCTGCTCCCACCCACTTTGCCAGAAATGTTTCAGACATGAAAGTGACCATGGGAAGTCTTTCCTGCGAGCGATTAGTTTAGAGCAAATCATGGGTATTCCAGGTTTTAAACTCTGCCCCATAGACCGGTTCCGGGGTCAGTGAAAGCCTGGCACAGAATGTGAAATGCTTCAGAGACACCTTTGCCTAGAGGGCAGTGGTTCTCAACCTTGGCTGCACATAGAATCACCTGGGAATCTTTTTAAAATCCTGATTTCTGGGCCTCATCCTCCGGAAATTCTGTTTCTTTGTTACTCACGTTGTGGCCCCACCCCATAACAAAGAAACAGAATTTCCAGAGGATGAGGCCCAGAAATCAGGATTCTAAAAAGATTCCCAGGCGATTCTAATGTGCAGCCAAAGTTGAGAACCACTGGCCTAGGGGAAGACCTTAGTTTTCTGTCCCACAAAAAGGTGAAGAACTGAGGACCTGCTTGATCGGTTGATTTCTAATGAAGCCCATTGATCCATCATCTATGATTAATAGAAAGGAGGTATATGGGTAAGTGTAGAATTCCAACCAGAGTGTTTGCATTTTGTGACCATACGTGAGAAGGAGAAAATATCTGAGTTAGGTGATGTCTTTTTCCTTCCCTACAGCCCCCCGGCCTCTGACCGTGGCATCTGCTGTTTCAGGGGAGACCAGAGACCAGCCTAGAAGAAAGAAGACATTGCTTGGCGTTGCCTTTCGAACATGACTGGTTAAAGTCCAGAGCAAGTCAGCCTCCCTCATAGGAGAACACATTTTCTTTAACACAATAATTTCAAAAGTTGTTTTCATGTATCAAGATTTGTTTTTCAATAGTGGGCTCCACATGAGGAAGAACTCAGGGCACAAACCCTTGAGGAGAGTGAAGGGAAGGAGGGGCCTGGCTGTGTCTGGGGGAGTCTGGGGCCGTAACTCGGGAAGCTGGGAGCTTCTGAGGGGCCACGGGGCCTGGGGTCAAGGTGAGGGACACAGAGCGTGGGAACCAGGCACCGAGCCCTGGCAGGGACCAGGGACATCCTGCTGCTTCTTCCAAAACAGATGAGACCGGCTGCACCTCAGGGACCCCGGCACCAGTGCCCAGTGGGCCCAGCGTGAGCGTCCGAGGCCCTTGCCCTGGGCTGTTGGGTGGCGAGGCTTCCCCCTGGGACACAGGTGTGGGAGGAGGAACCCTCGTGGCCCTGATTGGGGGTGGGGTGTCAGGTCTTTGCTTTGTTTGTTTTCATGCACCAAAAGCAAGACACAAAAGAACACAAATATCTTTTTGGCGGCCTCGAGTGGTAACACGGCAATTTCGACCTCGCTTTTCTTGGCTTCTCGGAGAGGAGCCCACAGAACGCAGGAGCACCCCCGGTGCACATTCACTGCCACGCAGAGCGCCCCCCGGGGAGCGGCAGGCACAGGCAGCTGCTCCACCAGGGGAAGCTGTCACCTTCCCTGAGACGAGCTGAGTGTGGCTGAGAGCTAATTTGGTGGCAAACAATTTAGGGCTCCTGTTACTGTCTCCTCCCACCCCCATTGCTCTCACTGTTTCAGTGACTTGTGTGCCTCAGCTTCTCTAGACAAATGGGGCGCAGGAAATAGGGATGCGGGCAGAGGGGCCTCTTGCAGAAAAGGGACACATATGGGGAGGGGGGGGCCAACACTGTGGCAGAGCATGCCCCTCACGCTGGCCCCACCCCACCTTAACACTCCTTCCCCGCCCCCACCATCCTGAGCCTCCCACAGCTCACACCTCCCAGCACTTCCTGCCGGGCCCTCACAGTGAAGGGGGAGTTAGTACATTTAATATGCGCCTGCTGCCTCATGTGCTTTGGGGTCATTTTTTCCCCCACGTCACAGCTGAAGAAATTGGTCTGAAGTACCATCTACACCACTAAATCACGCTTCCTCCTGCCTCTCAAAGGGAATCCAAATTTCTTGGCTGGTGTTCAGGACATCCATCACTTTCCAGTCATCCTTCGTTGCTGGAACATCTACAGTGTGCCTCCCGCTTCACATGTGCCATCTGATTTAATCCGTACAGAGAAGAAATATCGCCGCTAATTTGTGGATGCGGATCAGAGAGGTTAAGTGACATGTCAAAGCTGCACAGCTACCAGGCACCCTGAGACTAAACACATATCAGTTTAGGTTTAAAGACCAGGATCTCTCCCGGGCTGCCTTGCCTAATCTCCCATTCCCCTGCATAGCTTCAGAAAAGAGGGACCTCATTTCCTGGAGAAATGTGGGTCTTCAACCTAAAATGAGAGAGTCAGGTCTGATTTTGGAGAACACCACTCACTCTCCAAACAATGCCGGTGCCTCCTGCTAACCTCCACCGCACGGCCTTTAGATGCTCATGTTCGTTTCATGTGTACCTGTGCCTTCAGCAAAGCCCAGCCCTCCCGTTAGGCAGGAGCCAGGTCTCGGCTTCGGCGTGTCCCTTGCAGCTTCTGCATCGGTTAGGGAGGCAGGCTGCTGTGGCTGATCCTGAGAACAACGCTCACTGGCTGTCCCTCAACTCCTCCTCTCAGTCCTCGGAGCGGCCATTCCGGGGGCCGGGCAGTTGTGGCCCCGGGAGCTTAGCCGTGAAGACTTCGTGGCGGTGAAGGGGGACAGAGTGGGACTCGTGCACTGGCGTGCAGCCGGGATGGCCGCCTTCCTGAGCCTCCCATGTTTGCTTTGCTTGCTCACTGCTTTCTATTTTCAGCCACGATTCTCCTCCCTGGTTGATTCTTCTCCCTGGTGAACCTTCACTCCCACTCATGCCTAAGCCTCCACCGAGCGCTGCAGTCCCTGCTCCATCGGACTCCTTCCTAGCACCCGCTGCCGTGCACCCCACAGATGCCTTGCTAAGGAGAAGCTAGTTCAATCAAGGAACACCTTGCATCACATTTCTGCTGATTTTCAAGAACAACCCAGGGCAGCATTTCCCACAGGTGCTTTTAGTTCATGGAGTCCATGGGAAGGTTTCCATGTCAGATAAGTCTGGGGAATGCGCAATGGAAAACAGTTTCCATGAGCAATACCATGGGCTGGGTGGAGCCCTGGGGTAAAGTGATGGTTACGCCGACAATCCTGGCCTTCCATGTACCCATGTGGCAGGGTCTGGGAGCTCTCTGTCAGGGTGCACTCTGCTCACTGAGGGGGAGTCACTGTCACCCGGAAAGCTCTGACATGAAAGGGTGCATCATGCCAGAAAAGAAGATGAAACTCAAGTGACACAAATTAGACTGAGAACACTCAGCGAACATCAGGCCGCAGGGAGGGCACTGCATGGTGGGCTAGTGTTTGCAGTGGCCGCTCTGTGCCAGCGTGTGGACAAGGCGTATATGATGGTGAGTCTGTTCAATGCAGTGTCTCTACAAGCCTGATCGTGGAGGGCAGTGCAGAGGGAAATCAGCTGAGCCCCCTGGGTTCTGGTGCTGGCCACTGAGGGGAGAACGCGGGTCCTTGGAACGTCATGAGGGCCTCCTCTCCTCCCCTCACGCCAGGCTGTTACGGTGACTAACCCGCTCTTGCCACTTCCACGGCCTCTCTGCACCCAGAAGCAAGGAGCTGAAAGCTGTGTGTGGCCCCAGGCAGCTTGGCTCCAGGCCTGCTCTCCAGAGCCAGGGCCTCTGAGAGCTGCTGGGAGAAACGACAAGAGCTTCCTTTCCTCACCAAGGAGTTCAAGCCTGTGATCATCTCAGGGACATTCAGAAAGAACTTGCTTAAAGTGCCTAAGAACTTACTTGGAAAACTACAGGATGTTAAACAAAGAGATAGAGGAAGACATAAACAAATGGAAGAACATACCATGTTCATGGATTGGTAGAATCAACATCATTAAATTGTCCATACTACTAAAAGCAATCTACAGATTCAACGCAATCCCCATTAAAATACCAATGGCATTCTTCAAAGATCTAGAACAGCTGTGGGCAAACTATGGCCCGCGGGCCGGATCCAGCCTGTTTGAAATGAATAAAACTAAAAAAAAAGACCGTACCCTTTTAGTAATGATGTTTACTTTGAATTTATATTAGTTCACACAAACACTCCATCCATGCTTTTGTTCCGGCCCTCCGGTCCAGTTTAAGAACCCATGTGTGGCCCTCGAGTCAAAAAGTTTTCCCACCCCTGATCTAGAACAAACTCTCCAAAAATTCATCGGGAATAAAAAAGACCCCAAATAGCCACAGCAATCCTGAGAAAGAACAAAGTTGGAGGGATCACAATACCAGATATCAAGCTATATTACCAAGCCACGGTTCTCAAAACTACATGGTACTGGCACAAGAACAGACATTATAGACCAATGGAACAGAATAGAGAACACAGGAATTGACCCAAGCCATTATATTCAGTTATATTTGACAAAGGAGGCAAGAGCATACAATGGAGTCAAGACAGTCTCTTCAATAAATGGTGCTGGGAAATTTGGTCAGATACATGCAAAAAAATGAAACTAGATCACCAACTTACACCATACACAAAACCAAACTCAGAATGGCTAACGGACTTAAATGTAAGACGGGAAACCATAAAAACCTTAGAAGATTCCATAGGTAGCAAAATAGCAGACATATGTCATAGCAATATCTTCACTGATACAGCTCCTAGGGCAATGGAGACTAAGGAGAAAATAAACAAATTGAACTACATCAAAATAAAAAGCTTCTGCACTGCAAAAGAAACCATCAACAAAACAACAAGAAAACCCACTGCATGGGAGAACATGTTTGCTAATGCTATTTCAGATAACGGTTTAATCTCCAAAATGTACAGAGAACTCATACAACTTAAAAGGAAGATAATCCGAATAAAAAAAGGGAAAAGGACCTAAATAGACACTTTTTGAAAGAGGACATACATAAGGCTGAGATACATATGAAAACATGCTCAAAGTCACCAATCATCCAAGAGATGCAAATCAAAACAACGATGAGATAACATCTCCTACCTGTTAGAATGGCTATCATCAACAAATCAACTAATGACAAATGCTGGCGAGGATGTGGAGAAAAAGGAACCCTCATGCACTGCTGGTGGCAATGCAGACTGATGCAGCCACTGTGGAGAGCAGTATGGCGTTTCCTCAAAAAATTAAAAATGGAACTCCCATTTGACTCAATAATCCCACTACTAGGACTATATCCCAAGAAACCAGAAACACCAATCAGAAAGGATATATGCACCCCTATGTTCATAGCAGCACAATTTACAATAGCTAAGATTTGGAAACAGTCTAAGTGCCCATCAGCAGGTGAGTGGATTAAAAATCTGTGGTACATCTACACAATGGAATACTATGCTGCTATAAAAAAGAAGGAACTTTTACCATTTGCAACAACATGGATGAAACTGGAGAGCATTATGCTAAGCGAAATAAGTCAGTCAGAGAAAGATAAATATCATGATCTCACTCATATGTGGGATATAATGATCAACATAAACTGATGAACAAAAATAGATCCAGAGACAAATGGCAGGGGAGGGGGAGGTTAGAGATCAACCAAAGGACTTGTATGCATGCATATTAGCATAACCAATGGACACAGACACTGGGGCGGTGGGGGTTTGCCCTCAGGGGTGCGAGTGGCGGCGAGGGGGGTGTCAATTGGGGAAAAAGGAGATAGAAGTAAAACTTTAAACAACAAAAAAAATTTTTTTAAAAAGTGCCTAAGAACTGCACTTCTCCTAGGCTGGGCTTTGGCCTCACTCATGAGAATGAGACTCAACTGCTCATGGGCTTAAGCTTCAAAGTCACAGAGAAGAGCCTGGACAGGGGTCATCACAGACACTAACACTTTTTACCCACTCCACTGCCCCCTTGGCTCCTGTACTGTCCTGGAACCCAGTTATTTCTTATAGCTAATACTCTTCTGGAGTTTCTCAACAAATTATAGCATAACTTTGGATTTGAAGAGCCTGTCTAAACTACTTTACTTTATTGAACTCCTGTATTTTTTTTGTTTCATATTATTGCCATTATCAGCCCAGCTCTGATAAGGCAGGGACATGCCAGATAATTGCTGTATCCCAGAGCCAAGCACCAGGTCTGGGGCGCATGCTTGATAAGTATTAGTTGAATGAATACGGAATGAGTGAATGAATAAAATTATAAAGAAGGAATAATAATTTAGTTTTGGGGAAAAGTCAGCGTTATATCAACCTGAGGCTTTTATAGGTTAACTAGAAGCCCGGTGCACAAAATTCGTGCACTGGAGGGGGGCGTGTCCCTCAGCCCAGCTTGCACCCTCTCCAATCTGGGACCCATCAGGTGATGTCCAACTGCTGGTTTAAACTGGCAGTCAGACATCCCTCTCACAATCCGGACTGCTAACTCCCAACCGCTCGCCTGCCTGCCTGCCTGATTGCCCCTAACCGCTTCTGCCTACCAGTCTGATCACCCCTAACCACTCCCCTGACAGCCTGATCAACACCTAGCTGCTCCCCTGCTGGCCCGATTGCCCCCAACTGCCCTCCCCTGCCAGCCATCTTGTGGTGGCCATCTTGTGACCACATGGGGGCGGCCATCTTGGGCGAGGGTGTGATGGTCAATTTGCATATTACCTCTTTATTTTATAGGATGTTGCTAAGAGCCTTCCTTTATATGGAGGCCGGGCAGGGGGGAGGAGGTAAGCCTCATGGAAAGGGAAGGAAGTGCAGGAGAGATGGTTTATTTCAGGGTGCATGACAAGTGCTCGGAGCAGAGCAGGAAGGTACTGGAGGAAATGAGGAGTGTGGGGAGTATATTCCCCGGGTTTCTCAGTGCTGCTGGAGGGGGAGACCCTGAGGGAATTGAAGAGCCACTCTCCGGACTGCAGGTACGGCCACAGCTGCTCTCCAGTGTCCGCAGGCACAGGCACAGGGCTGGGCACAGAGTCCCCGAGGGCTCCCTCTCACCACCTCGGTTTACATAAGTGGCGTTGGTTTCATTCCAGAGCCCATTTAGAAATGTGGCCCCCAAAGTGATACAGTGGGTTGTTAGGTGAAAAATTAAATCCTACCATCCAAGGTAACATCAAATGTTTATGCACGCAAGAGGAAACTATTTTACTCCTTCTTTAGAAATGAAAGTCTACCGTACAGAGCCATGAACTTGAGAAATTTGCCCTCAACCCTCTCCCAAGAACCTCCATGCCCTGAAAGCCTGTTTAATATTTCCCTTTAAAGTTGAAATAGCAATGTTTTTATTGGCACCTTATAATGTTTTTATAGGAGGCATCTAAATCTCCCACATAGATACTCATTATAGCTGGATAAGGTTTCGTTATTATTTGTAGGTTGATGCTAATTTTTAAAAATATTTTCACAAAGAAAGCATAGTTAGGAAAGTCTTATGAATACTTACAGCTCGTGTTCTTCTAATCTGTGACAAACTGCACAAAGGTAAGGTCTTACCATGTCTAATCCATAAACTCCTTTCCCTGAGTCACAGGTGGCCTCGCTTCCCATTCAGCAACCGGCCCTGGCTGCGTACTGCCCTGCTGACCCTTAGGGAGACCCCATCCACTCCAGCCAGCGATATTTCCAGCATATTTGGGAATTTCTGGCCATCCAGGTAGAGATTTTTGGAGATGAAAGATGCAACTTCAGTGCTTCCAAGGAAGCTCTGTAATTACGAGAACTGCGAGGAGGGGGCAGAGCAGGGAAGATGATGAGCCCAAACCAACCTGACAGGCTGCCCAGGGGCGGTGGCCTTAGGGGTCGTGGCTGTCACAGCACGAAGGTGGGGGGCTGTGAGGACCAGGGTCCAGGACTGACCGAGGCCCAGGGCTTGGGCCGTGCAGGTCTTACCTCGGGGCTGGAGTAGTGGGCGGGCTTGCTGCCCTCGCTCTCGCTGGAGCTGCTCTCGCTCTCGGAGTCGGATCCCGAGCTGCTCTCCGAGTCGCTGGACGAACTGCTGCCGCTGCTGCTGCTGCCGCTGCTGCTGCCCTTGCTGGAGGGCACCGAGGCTCTGCAGCTGGCCTGCTGGACCCCGGCGCTGCCAGCCCACGGGCCCGGGGGGAAAGGGAAGGAAAGTCAAGTGAGCCAACACGCAGCACCACCGCGCAGCTGTCACTCCACCAAAGGAGCGAGAAGGCACAGGCGGCGCATTTGTCCACCATCACTTGGCACTCGAAGAGCAATCGTCAAGGTCAAATCCTGCCAGTTAAGTGGTTACATACATGTCGATAAAATTGGGAGTGAGGGCTGGTGCCCTGGGGTTGCTGGCATGTTATTTGTATGGCCATTCGGAGGGGAAGGCGGTGTGGCTCGGCACGGCCTTCTGTCCTGCCGCTGCTCCTGAGAACGCCTTTTCCAGTGCACCCCCAAACACAACCATCTACAAAGAGGCAAGGAAATCCAAAATGCTTGGAATATTTTGTGAAATTGAAAATGTCTGTTTGCTTTATTTTAGGACGTGGGCTGTGAGGAAGGGAAGTGTTCTGCTCTGTCCTTCCCTGGCCTTCTGGAAGGTTCCGTAGACCGCGGCCCTGCGGTTACATAACCCTGCGCCCCACCTCTTCCCGCCCTCAGACTCGAGCGCTGTCGTCTTCCCAGGACCTGGCTTGCTGAGTAAACAGTCATTTTCCTCTGAGCCCTTCACTGAAGGACTGGAGATCCATCACTTACATGGTTTTATATATTCCAGACCCCAGGAGAGCGGCTGCCTTAGAGCAATAACATTTCAAAGCATACTTCATGTTCACATTTCATGCTGAAATTCCCTAGCAAGTTATGTACGCAAATTATATATTCAGACAGAATAGGAAAAATGGACATTTTCTAATGGTAATGAATTCACCACAAAAATTCAAGGAACACACAGCCACCCAAAAAGTGTTTGAGGCAAGAATAAAGTTTTTGGTACTCCCATAATATTCAACATTTTCAAAGTCTGTATTAATTAAAACACATCTAAATCTGTTCTTTTGAGGTCGAAAGCTAAACCCAGAAAGGCAGTGACCACGTTCTCATGTGACGACAACCAATACTTGCTTGCCCCTTCCCACTGTGACCACGGACCGTGAGCGCAGGCCGGGCGCTGGGGCTTGGCAGGGGCTAGGGTCTCAGTGCAGTTCAGCCTGGACAAGGTGAGGGACCATTTTCACCGGCCCCTTCACCTCTGACAAATGCTCTGCCAGGGATGGAATCGCATAAATCCTTAGTGTGGGGCGTGGGGGTGGGGTGAAGGGGTTATTACTCATTGGAACCCGCTTCCAGAAGCATGACAAGACAAACACCGTCTTGCAGGATAGACCTGAAAATAAAAGCAATTTGTGAACTGCAGGCCAGGGAAAGAGCGCGCTGGAACATAACCTTGCCTAGAGGTTTTTATTTCTCCCACAGTGTCACGGTCCACACCCACGGCTGACAAACCCTTCAACACCAGGGATTTCTTGTGCAGCCTCTCGCTTGCGTCTGGTGCTGAGCGAGAAGCCCTGGCTCTTTAGAAGGGAGGTGAGTGATCAAAGGCTGTAAAATGGCTTTCTTCCCTATGAACGAAAACCCATCTTTCCTGCTGGCGGAGCCGAGATGGCTACTATCAATAAAGTCATTACAAACAAAGGAGGTTATCAGTCTCTGACCAAACACGAACACCTGAGATCCACGTTAATCGTTTGTCAGGGGGCCCCCAAAACACCGGGGTGGGGAAACTCCAAAACACAAACCGACCGCCCCCGCCCCCCACTAATAAAGCCAAACCAAATCCAAAAAGCCCCAAAGCGAAGCCACACATGGCGGAGGAAAGAGACAGTGCCCCGCCCACTCTGGATGCCCTTTTCTGCAGCCTGGGAAACCGAGATGAATGAGGAGCACGCTGGGTGGTTTTATGTGATGGCCAAAGGCTTGGATCCCGCACGAGTACGTCCTACCTGCTCCAGTTCCAACAACAAAGAGCATGTGATGCGGGCTGGTGTGTGGAGTCCTGGGGGCTTGCACCACAACGTGACTCCTTAATTTCTGGGAGATGTCCACTGAGCGGCCCATGCCGCCTCCTCTGCGAGGCTGCCCTGCAGGATGAGACCGCAGCCCAAGGAGACAGAGCCTCTGGTCCCTCAGAACGGCAGTCAGCCTTACGTGTCATGTTTTCCTCCCTCAGATTGGGAACTCCCTGACAAGGACAGTCTTACTGGCATAACGATTGTTTGTTTTTAAAACAGTGGGGAGAGCCAAGAATTTTAGGTTTCTCTTCATGCTTTGCTCCATGGGCTGAGGCTCACGCTGCTGCGGGTCAGGATAGGATATATTTGTGGTTTAGGGTCCGAGCAGAGTGTGTGTCGCCAGGAAGAATCATGTTAAGGGTGGGAGCCTGGAGAGCTCTGTGCCCCGATCTGGGACCAAGGAACTGCCCGCATCCACCTGGGGACAGCTGGCCGGGCTGACCGCAGCGGCCCCGCTCCCGCCTCAGCACATGGACCCGCTGCGCAGGGAGATGGCAGTAAAGACCAGGAGCGGGGATGCGGTCCCCACTGCAGACGAGGACTGATAAAAGGGCTCTTTGGAGACACGGAACCAAGAAGATGGGAGAAGACGTATTGGAAAGACATTCCCGAAGGAAGACGGGGCTGCATATAGTTAACGTTTTCGTGTGACAATAGATCTCATGCTTTTGTACTGGAGATATTAAAAAATTAATTTAAAAATTTAACTTTTTCCTGAAACAATAGCATAGAATAGTTGACATGATGACACGGTCTTGGACAGTTTTTATGAGTGCTCTGCATGCCATACCAGGAACATGGTGCGGCTGAGTCTGCAGACATGAAAACATTGATGAGATCATGGAATAAATCTCTGTTGCCCAGCTTGGCACCATACCTGGGACACAGTAGGCATTCACATGTGATCACTGAGTAAAAAAATCAATAGAAAAAAATCCATCATTGGTTTAATGAGTTTTTTTTTAAAAGCATTTAACCTTTCAAAAAGGTTACAATTTCTCTTTTCCAATAAAAGAATATTTAAGGGGATTTCAGCACCTCTGTGCTCTCCCAATTTTAACATTTTTTTCCTTTTAGCGACTATTTCTTTAAATGTACTCTAAATTTCATATGCTATGATTTAGCCCAGTTCTCTCTCTGGTGGTTATTTAATTTTTGTATTTAATTTCGTGGAACGTCTTGCTGGTTTTGTTTGTGGTCAGGACCCAAGGCCCCCTGGAGAGTCCTGGCTTTATTCTAATGACCGGCTTGCTGTGCCCCTTCCTTTGGCTGCAGTGACACATCCCTGCAGAAGCCGGCCTGGGCCAAGTCTGAACACAGACAGTAACAGAAAAGATCGGGAACCCAAGCGACAAATCCCGTTCTCGCAGCCCAGGGTGTCCTGCCTGCCAAGGGTAGTGTGGGGCCTGGATAAGTACCCACAGGCGTCCACACGCTTTCAACCAACAAGCGCCGGGGACAGGCTCCCTGCCGGCGGGCACTGTGTGGGCGCCCGGGGCCCTGGCCGAATGATACGACACAGGAGGGCGGTGCCCCTTCTCACTCAGCACTCAGCGTGAACTCAATAAATGCGTGATTTCCAAACTGTAATCAGTCCCCTGGCAACAGGATCCTGTATAGAAAGCACCTTTACTAGTATTGCTATTATTTGATCTAAAACTATAACCAATGATGAGACGTGAAAATGGTGAAAGCTGGCGCAAGGGGGTTCGAATTGCTGGAGTTATCTTCCAAAAGACAACACTGACAGGACCGTGGACTGATGTATTTTTGTTTGTTCTGCATTATCGCCAGGAACAGTTCTGCTAACACATGGCTTTTGAAGCTCTTTGTGGTCTGGCCTCAATCACGGGTCCATCCGAAACCCCCGCCGTGATCATTTCTATCACTTTGACAGTGTGTGTCAGTTTCTGGCTGCGTGCCTTTGCCGTGCCGTCTCCACCGGAAGGAAGCCCCTTCTCCCCTCCGCTTGCCCTGCAGGTCCTCTCAGGGCCGAGCTGCAAGGCCCCCTGTTCTGCACAGGTTTCCCACTCCCCAGGCATGGCGGCTGTTCCTCGCTCAAGCCCGGCAGCACACGGTGCATTTCTCTGCCATTATCCTTGTATCCCCAACGCTGGCAGAGGGTCTGACACAAATAGATTCTTAACTAATGTTGATTGACTTAATAAAATAACGATTCCTGACACAGTGTGTAAAACTGATTCCTGATACAATGTATTTTGTTATACTAGAAGTAGCCCAGGAGATGTTGGTATATATGTATTTTTTCTGTTGCTCTGGGGCTGCGTAGGATTTCATAAAACTGGTATCTTAGAAAGCTACCATCTGTATTATTGGTTACAAATAGAAAACCTACAGAGGCAAGGCGAGTAGCATAAGTGACTAAGTGTCCAGGTGTAAGGAAAACAAATGTGTAACCTGTGATGCTAAATGACAGCAGACCCGTGGCTCCCTCGTGGGCAAGGTGTCGACCTGGAGCCCAGACAGCTCCCCAGGCCAGCCTCGCTCTGCCAGGTGGAAATGGGAGCCCGGTGTTACCAAATCCTTTGATTTTCCAGAGGAAGCCCCAAATCCCGATGTGTATTTCAAATCTCCCGATTTTAAAATGCGAGCACCCAATTTGAAAAGTTCTGACAATAAAAAGTTCCATTGTGTGTCAGCAATGAAACGCATCTGTGGTCAGTGGAGGCCTGTGAGCGCCAGTCGGAGACCCTGGCCCATGTCCTGTTATCACACATTCTGAAGGCCTCAGACGGTTCCACGTAAAAGAATGAACAAAAAAGACCAGACTAGGAGTTTTACTCTCTCAGGATTAGGTAAGTAGGGCCAACAAGAGGCTAAACAGATACAATGGCTCTCTCAGTGCACTTACTTCGAAGTTTTTAAGATTCTGAAATAAACTGATTCACCAGAAGTTGCAAAAATAGTACGGATGTCTCATGTACCCCTCACTCAGTGTCTCTCATGGCCTCATCTCATATGATTACAGAACAACGTCAACACCAGAAAACTGACAATGGAACAATGTGCGTATAATTCTATGACATTGCATCAC